ATGCATGAAAGTTGTCCAGAAGGCTATTATTGATGGGCAGCTTTCAAAACCAATAAATAACCAACCAACCAACTAACCTTCCTAATGATTCCTAGCACAGAATTTACCATTTAAAAAAAAAAAAACACGCTAGAGCTCCTAATTGGGGTGGCATTCTGCACAGAAGCCCAAAAAAGGGTCTCTAAGTAGTGAGGTACCCAATCAAACACCATTGTGAAGCTCTCCCACCGTTCAGCTCTTAGCAGAGTTTTTTCCCTGGCAAGAAAGAATAAAGGTGAAGAGGCAAGTCAAGAATTGCTTTAGCAAACAACACAGGCACATCCTCTCCCAAAATTTTCTGAGTGGGGCAGGGCAACAGCAGAAGAAAAGCCTCACTGGGAAAGAACCAAAAGGAGATTTCCATTTTCTAGCATATAAATTTCTCTGTGTGTGTGTATCTATATATTTATATGCACACACACAAACACAAGAGAGAGGGGGGGAGAGGGGGAGAGGGAGAGAGAGAGTCACCCAGGGGCTTTCATGTCTAACATGAGACTAGAACTCCCCATCTCCTGGTTTGTATCCTGGGGCCTTAACTAATAGACGAAATTCTCTCTCTCTAGCACAGTGTTTCTGTGTTTCTCAACCTTGGTAGCTTGAAGTTGGGTGGACTTCAACTCTGACTCGCGCTGATGGCTGGGGGATTCTGGGAGTTGAAGTCCACCCATCTTCAAGCTACCAAGGTTGAGAAACACTGCTTGTCAGGTTTCGGTGTCGTCTCAAATAAATTGCATTCCCAAACAGTCTTTGATGAAATCTTTCATTTATTAAGCACGACAATTTGTTCCCAACTATGTCGTAGCCAACACTGACTTCCTGACTCCAAACCTTCCCTTTCCGTTCCCCAATTCTCTGAGTCTCATTGGCCATCTTCCAAATCACTCTCCCCATATCTACTACTTCAGCTCCCAGGAATGTCCCCCCTCCCAACCCATCTCCTACGGGATATTATCTTCAGGGAAAATAAGTAGGTGAAAAGTCAAGCGTCCTCTTGCCAGCTGCCCCCTCTTCTCCGCCTTATGTCAGCACTGGAACGAATGTAGTTTGGAGTGCTGACACTGCTCTAGCATAAGAAAAGGCTGTGAAGCTGACCAATGCAAGTGGCAGAGAGTATTCAGAGTCCGAACTCAGGGGCAGTTTGTCTCCTGAATACCATAGTTTCCAAAACAAGCATATATAGCAGTGATGGCTAACCTTTTCCAGAGCGAGTGCCAAAAGCACGAGCGCACACATGGGCAAATGCGCACACCCGGCTCCACAAAATGCAATGCGTGCACCCCCCTGCGCATTCGCTCTGCCCCCACGCATATGCACATGGGGACCCCGCAGGCACCCCACCTCCTGCACATGCGCAGCAGAGACCCAAAGACCAGCTGGCTGGCGGGAGTCACGCACACATGCGCAGCAGAGCTGAACTGGGGCAATGGCTCACTTGCCATCAGAGAGGGCGCTGCATGCCTCCTTTCCATAGGTTCGCCATCATAGGTATAAAGAGATACCACTTCTTGTGTCCTCTTGCAAATGAATAACTGGATCAGTAAGAACCTCGCCATCGATTCCTGAGCATATTTTCAAGCAAACCCTTTTATAGCCATCTTTGCCCTCTTCCAATTGGCCAAGGGCTGCACGGGGAGCCTTGTCAGGATGGGAGTCCTCACAAAACCCAGACAGAACATTTGGGAGGACAAGATACACTAAGAAAGAATTAAAGCATGTAAGCCAAGTTTATTCATTTGCAGGAATGGAACAGAGCACTGGTGCATAGCAGATGTACTCACTGAACAGGTTGATTTAACAGGCATGTTGCATGCCAAATCTTACCCATGCGTTTGCATAATTGCTGCAGCCTGTTCTTTTGACAAATATTTATTTTTAAAAAAATACGGAGGATTGAGCTGCCTGCCGTGTCCTATACATCAACAGATTTAGGAACAGCTATGGTAGCGGGAAGGGGATGTTCTCTGCTTTGATTGGACCTGCAGCATGCCAGACGCTTGTAGAATCCTAGAGGTGGAAGGGGACTCTGAGGTCATCAAGCCCTACCCCCATGACACAAGAAGCCAAATTAAAACAACTCTATCATTCTGTTACTCTGTTAGTTCTTTCTATGATAACATGCATCCATATCCCATTAAGCCCAAAGAAAGTCTGGAATGGTATATCCTGCCATAGGCAGAGGGTTGAAGACCTCCAAGATCCCTTCCAATCCTATTACTCCATGTTCTACAATCTATCTCTGCAAAATGATTCTCCTTGGGCATATACAAAGAAGGGGACCCTGCTTTGTTTGGACACCAATGCCACTGATCTCAGGAAATAGTTCAACGGCACTAACAGATTTTCCTTTTGTTTTTCTTCTCAAGAGTAAAGATACTCACATCCTTCCATCTCTCTTCCTTCTCCTTGCCCTTCTCGACCTATTCTAAGTTGCCCGGAGCCATCCTAAGTGGTGATAACCAGCAAACAGCACATGCAATCAAATCACGGCTGGCACATGCTCGGAAGCTCTTAGAATTTCCACCAATGGCCTCGTGAAGTTCATAACTCTGCCCTGTGCCTGCTTTGCCATTGGCTGCTCCTCAACTGGCAGCCTCGACACGTCCATTGTTCTGCTAGCTCTGATGTCCCAGAAGGGCAGCGCCTGGCTTGGCAAACCAAAGATTCCAGAGGCCACTGACATTCCTACAGTCACATCCAACCACTGACTTTTAAAAAGCAGGTAGACTGTGCTTGCTTAATCAAGTGGTTAGGGTTTTCTTTTCTTTCTTTTTTTTTAACAAAAAGAGGAGACAGGGAGGGAGGGAGGGGGAGAGAGAGAGAAGGTTGTGCCTTATAATAATAATAATTTGCTCTGATATTTCATGCACACTCCTGCTCCAAGTTCCTTGGATGCAACAGAATACGAGACCTAAATAAAATGGGATGCTTATGTAATGCTGCACATATAGTTATGTACAATCTCTTTCCTAGCATCCAGTTTTTCCCCCCCAAAGGGCTACTGAGCAGCCACGCTTCTCAAGCGGCATCAGCAACTACTACCTCCCGCCAGGGAGGAAAGTCAGCCAGTCCTTTGGCCAATAAAAACATTAACACCAAGAGGCGGCCAGTCCCCAGCGCGCACATAGGCCTTGTGATTCCATCCACGTAGCTCCCCAGGCGCAGAAGGCAAGGAGTGGAGATTTCCTGGAAGACTGTTGGAAGACTTCCTCTTAAGGCAGGCCTGCGAACGAGGCCCAAAGAGCCCTTTCTTTGCATGAAGCCTTCACCAACACGTTCCCCAGATGGGGCTCTGCAACGTAGCTCCCCACTTCTGCACCCCACATCTAAGCTGTTTGGCTTGGAGGGTCTTCTGGCCAGATGCTCAGAAGACAGCGCTACCACAGCGACGGACCTGGGTGAAGGGAAAGGACCGACTGGTTGGAGGCCTTCAGGGGGAAGAGCTCAAGGCAACAACGTGAAGCACAGCAGCGAAGGTGAGGCTCCCCTCCCACAACCCTTTCAGGCCCAGCCTGGCAGAAGTCCACCTACTTCAGAAGGCCACGGGTTCAATCCCTCACATCTCCAGAGGGAACTAAAAAACCCCCACCTGCTTGAAAATCCGGATGAGTTTCTTGCCATTTTTCCTATCTTCTGATATTTCTCCCTTCCTGCTCCTTCCTGTTGTATCTATTTGCTCCATCTTTTTCAGCAAAAATGTGAGCCCCCCCCCCAATCTTCCCTCTGCCTTCCCTCTGCCTTAATGCACCACCATCAGATCCCCTATTATTAGACAGGAGACTTAACAAAACCCACTTTGCACTTGTTGCTGCCCCCTGCCAACCTCCCCCCAGGCAAAGGTCGCCCCCTGCCAGCCCTGGGCTCGCATGGCCCAAGGAGGGCCCGGCATCTTGTGCTGGAAGAGCCCAATGTCCTCCCTGCTTCAGGCGGTTCGGGGCTGGGCTTTTGGGTCGCGTTTCAGACCGCCAGCCCGGTTTCTCTCAGGAGCCGCCTTGATGCGGGAAGGGGGAAGGGGGGAGGGGGCCTTTTATCACGGCTGGGCTGCTCCCTTCCGCCCGAAGTTCTTCCCGGCCCCCTCAGAGCTCCTCGGCCAGAAAGCCCCTCCGCCGCCTGCGCCTGGGAAGAATGGAAAGGCCGCAAGCAGGGATCGCTCCCAACCACCAAACCCGCCGCACCGAGCCCAAGCGATGGCGCTCCCGCCACGCCGGGCTGAAGAGCCGGACTCATCCCGGCCTCGTCGACGCCTCCGCGGAAAGCGGCGGGAGCGGCCCGGGATCCGCCACCAGCCCAGCCAAGCCAAGCGACGGCTCTTCTCCGCCTGCCGCCGCTCTCCGCATTCAACTTCGGAGCCGCCAGGCCCCGCTGCTGCCCCCGAGCGCCGAGCCCGAGCCCGCCGGGGCTCCCGGCCAGTCCCCCGGGGACCGCGCGCCAAGGGCCGGCCAGGCCGGCGGGCAAGGCCGGCTGGCGAGGGCTCCGCGTCCAACAAAGGCTCCCTCCCCTCCCCTCCCTCGTTTGGGCAGATTTACAAAGGCAGGGCTGCAACTTGGAGCCGGGCGCGCCCCGCAGCCCCCGCCTCGCCCACCCCCGCCGGCAGCCCCGGGCTGGGCAGCGCTTCGGCTCCCCCGGCCGGCCGCCACCCCCGATGCCCGCCTGCCCCGCGCTTCCTCCCGCCGCCGCGGCCAGAGAGGAGCCCGGCTGAGCCGCCGCCAACCTCCCCCGCCCCCCGCCCGCCCGCCCCCGCAGCTGCCGGCCTCGCCTGCCCCGGGCCGCGGACGGGGGGCGGCCAGGGACCGCCAGGCTGCGCCGCCCGCCTCGCCCCTCCGTCGGCCGGGCCTCCCCCGCCCGCCCGCCCGCCTCTGCTGCAGCCGCAGCTCGCCCGGAGAAAAGCCGCCGCCGCCGCCGCCCCCCCGGCTGGCACAAAAGGCTCCCGCCCGCCTCGCCCCGCCCCGCCCGAGGCTTACCTTGCGGCCGGTCCGGGCTGGGCTGCGGGCGGCGAGGCAGGGCAGCGGCTACTGCGGCACTGGCGGCTCCGGCGGCGGCGGCGGCGGCGGCTCCTCCATGAGCCCTGCGCTCCAGCGCGTGCAGGTGGACGCGCCTGCCTCTGCCCCGCGCCTCCGCCTCCGCCTCCGCCTCCTCCGCCGCCTTCGCCGCCGCCGCCTCCGCCTCCACGGCCGGGAGGGGCCAAGGATGGAGAGGCGGACGGAGCAGCCGCCGCCGGAGCCGCCGCCGCCGCCAGCCCGGCCCCGCGCAGCGCCGCTCGGACGGGAGGGGGGGGCGACCCCCCTCCCCCTCGCCTCCGCCCCCCCCCCGGCTGCCTTCGCCCATCCTGAAGGGCCGCAGCGCCCCCCGCCCCCGCCCGCCGGATCCCCCGGGCAGCCCGCTCGGCCGCCTCCCGCTCGGCGGGGCGGGCGGGCGCGCCTTTCCCGGGGCGGGGAGCGGGGGTTGAAGGCGGCGCTGCCACCTGCCCTAGGAAGGACGCGGAGCCTCCGGCCCGGACGCCTCAAGCGGGGGGCGGACGGGCGGCGGGGGAGGCGTGAGGCGGCCGGCGCGGCTTGCCAGGAGGCGGCCGGGAAGCGCCGCTCCGGTGCGCTCGCCTGCCCTGCGCGCCGGGCCGAGCCGCGCTTAAGGTTGGCGCGGAGGGTAGCCCGGCTGAGGCGCGATGGGGCCGGGCTGGGTGGGACTGCGGCGCCCGGGCAAGCGGAGGGCGAGCGGGCGCTTCTTCGTGCAATCGCGCCGCAGCTCCGAACGCCGCCGCCTCGGGCTTGCCCTCCTGCTCGGGACCGGCCACGGGCGGCGTTAAGCAGCGTTTGCTCGCTAAGCTCGAGGCCGGCGGGAGACTTGGCCGGCTCTGGGGCCGGGGAGCGGCCGCGGGCCTGCACGAGAGCGGGAAAAGCCCCCTTCCCTGCAGCTGTGCGGCCAGCACACCTGGAGGGCGCCGCGTTGGGGAAGCCGTCGCCCGGCTGCCCTGGAGGGCGCCTTTCCTCCAAAGAAAGGGAGGCCGGTCCAGAGCCGGTGAGTGGATCAGAGCATTGAGAACTGCTGGGGGGGAAGTGCAACGTTTAAGAGCAACCCAGCAGCTCTTATTTTCAAAAAAACACCCTCAAGCCCAAGGATACACAGTGAGGAGAAAAATAAAACTGTTTGGTGAACCTAAAAGAAATCTTTCATAAAAGAAATGCAGCCAGTACATAAATAATGAAAGGGGTTGCTTTCCTGCCCTGTAAATTTCAACTAATTCCAGGAGACGTGTTGTTATAATAAAAACATATATATGGAATTTGCATATTGATATCAAAGGAATTCTATAGAATGAATGTTGCAAATTCAGAGAAGAGGTTTTGCTATCCATGCCTCATTCTTATATCTGAGTCTCCAACCCATCAGGTGAAGAATAAAAATTCTGGAAAAAATGAGAGATGGATTGGAAGCTATGCAGGTTAGAATTTAATATACATAGTGGCTAGAGTAACCAATTAATGCTGTTCCATTAGCAAGTAATTAAAGAACACAGGCAAATTTAAATCAGAGATGGACCAGATGTGAAATTTAGGGTGCACCTCACTATAATGGAGAGGTTGTTTAAAGAACTAGCTGTACTATTAGAACATAGAAGAACAGGGTTAGAAGGGTGTTAGAGGTCTTCTAGTCCAGGGGTCCCCAACCTTTCAGATCTCAGGGACCACTAAATTCATAATTTTAAATCCCGCGGACCACTAATACGATCTGCCTAATGACCGGCTGGGTGGGCGTGGCTAGGTGGGTGTGTGACTGGGTGGGCGTGATCAACTCAATGTCACTCACGTCAAGGGGTGCCTCACCGGCCTTTACTCGCCCCTCCCCTCCCAGCCCCTCCTTGCCTGCCCCCCCCAGGATCCTTAGGGCCCCAACAGGAAGCAGTTGTTGGAGCTAAGCAGCCACCATGAGAAAGAGTTGGCAAAACAGTTCAGTTCAAATTGGATCTGACCGAGAAGGAGGCTCAGCAGAAGCACCTCACTGAGGGCTACGAGCATAGGCTTTCCAAGCAGAGGGAAGACCTGCGGGAGTGCAAGGCCAGGTACCGGCGCCTCGAGGCTCAGCGAGCTGAGATGGTCAGCCAGTTCCAGGCCATGATGCGGTCCCACTGGAATAAGGCCCTCCGGCTCTTCGCCACCAGTGACGCTTCCCTCCAGCCTTCGCCCAAAGCCCTGCACCAGGAGGCTGAAGCAGACCCCAAGTCAGAATTTCTGCCCCCCTTAAACCCATGCAAAAAGACCCCAAAGGGGGAGACTCTGCAGCAACACAAACGTTCATTGCATGTATCCATCCCAGGGGCCGTAGTTTGAAGACCCCTGATTTAGTGCAATATTAAAAATGCAAATTTTCTGTGGACCACCAAAATTTTCTCACGGACCATCAGTGGTCCATGGACCACCAGTTGGTGACCGCTGTTCTAGTCCAACTCCCTGCTCAAGCATGAGACCCTACACCATTTCAGTCAAGTGACTGTCCAGTCTTTTCTTGAAGCCTTAAGTAATGAAGCACCCAAAACTCCAGGAGGCAAGCTATTTCACTGATTGTTTTCACTTTCAGAAAATTTCTCCTTAATTCTAGGTTGGATCTCTCTTTAATGGCCTTCCACCCATTATTTCTTGTCCTGTCCTCAAGTTTTGTTGTTGTTTTTGTTATTGTTGTTAGGATATTTATTAGTCTGAATCAGTGTTTAGAGTCATGCTAGCTAGGGAATTCTGAAAGTTGAAGTTCACACAACTTCAAGTGGCCAAGTTCAGAAAACTGGTCTGAATGAAGTGCCCCTATTGAGTAGCAGGTAAGGACAGGTGGCATCTGAAAGTGTGTCTCTACCTGGCCTGTCACCTTCCCAGGTTGGATATGCTCTTGCTAGGAATAAATGAAAAGATTCCTACCAGCTTTCAGGGTTGTGGGATAAGAGCTAACAGGGATGGAGCAAAGAGCAAAGTTATTACTAGAAGCCAACATGGGTTTGTTAAAAACAAATCATGCCAAACAAACTTTGTTGCCTTCTTTTATAAAATGACTAAATTAGTGGATCAAGAGTTGGACTAGAAGGACCTCCAAGGACCCTTCCAGTCCCATTATTCTTATTCTAAATGCTGTGGATATAGTATAGTCTTCAGTAAGGCATTTGACAAAGTAAACCAGAACCTATTCCTTGGTAAGGTAGAAAAATATGGGATAGACAGCATCACCACCAGGTGGATTCGCAACTGATTGACTAACCACACTCAACATGTAGCGTTCAATGGAACGACGTTTCTAGGGAGGGAAGCATGCAGTGGGGTATCCTAAGGCTCTGTCTTAAGCCCAGTACTTTTCAACGTCTTCATAAATGATTTAGATAAAGGGATATAAGGGGAACTTGGCAAATTTACAGATAACACCGAATATCCAACAGTTGAAAAGATAAGCTCAAGATACAGACTTGACAGACTTCAACATGGACCCTATCCAATAAAATGCAATTCAGTGGTGAGAAAAGTAATGTCTTACACTTAGGCAGGAAAAGCACAGATATAGAATAGATGGTAGCTGGTTCACGAGGGATCTAGGTGCCTTAGTGAACAACCATTTAAGTATGAGCCAGCGGTGTGCTGCAGCTGCCCAAAAATCTAATGCAGTCCATCAACAGACAGATCATGAACTGTTAGCCCTACTTTATGCTGCACTGGTAAGAAAACACTTGGAATACTATGTCCAGTTCTGGTCCCCGCAGTACAAAAAAGACGCTGAGACTCCAGAAAGTGCAGAGAAGAGCAACAAAGATGATTAGGGGTCTGCAGGATAAATCATACAATAAAGGCTATGGAAATTAGGTATGTCTTGTCTAACAAAGAGAAGGATTAGGGGTGACATGATAGCATCCTCCAATACTTGAAGAGCTGTCACAGAAGTCAACCTATTCTCCAAAACACCTGAGGGCAGGTTTATCTGGATGTGCTCCTTGTCTGGACCTATCTTGCAAGGCTGACTTCTTCTCAAGGATTCAGAAAATTCCTCCTTTTTTGAGTTTGGCTTTTCCTCTGTGAAGCTTCCTTCTATTGGTTCGTGGTCTATTTCCAGCAAGAAGAAATAGGGGGAAACCTAAAGGAAAGGAGATGGATAGGATGAAAGAAATCATTAAAATGTTATTGGAAGAGTTGGAGATTGTGGTAAGGACAGGTTGAAATGTCTATGGAGTTTCTCAGTCATCCGGGTCATGATTGTCCCAAAGGTGCTTTTTCAAAAGGCAACTGGACTTTCTTTGTTTTTTCTGGATGACGTTTCACTTCTCATCCAAGAAGCTTCTGAATTTTTGAAAAAGCACCTTTGGGACAGGTTGAAGTGGTGGATATTTAACCATGGGATTCCCCTGAAGACAATCCAACTGATGATGAGTAACCAAACAAATTTTGGGGCAGGTCACTGACTCAGCTGAGAAACCTTTGGATGTATCTATGTCATGGGGCAGGTGGAAGATCTAATGCTCCACTGGCTTTACCACTTGATTGACAAGTTTCTAACGAGAATTTATTTTATTAATTTAGTTTTATTTTATTTATTTTTCACGTTTCTGAACCACTCATCTCCCTCAGTTTTCAGTTGTGGCCATTGTTTTCCTCTGAAGAACAAGCCCAAGGGGGACAACATGGACCATTTCCTGAATTAAATCTTGAAGATATTTTTTTTAAAAAAATATATTTTAGAAAGGTTTCTTCAGCAATTACAGTAGATGAAATTCTTGTAGTTGGTGCAGCTGTAGTCTCTCCTGATACGTTTAATTTGGATGAATGGGGTTCTGCAAATGAAAAGTCATTAGCTTACCAGCCCAAATCAGGAGGGACACTGTATTCATGAAGATAGATTTGAAAGTAAATTAGGGATCTCTTGAAAATCAGGAACAGCAAATTGATGATACAATTATTATGATATTACTTGAAAAGAGGAGGAGGAGGGGAGAGAAAAAAATCACTCAGAGAAGACATGAGAGACAAGCTTTATATCAACAGAGGTACAAAGAGGTCACTGCTCCAT